ACGGTCAAAAAAAATGGGTCAAAGATTTTTTTATTAAATCGCCAAAAGAAGTTTAACCAATTTGAATACCTATTTCGCCCGACCGCACTTATGTCTTGCCGACTTGCAATAAGTCGCGCGATTTGCGTAGAGAATCGTTCGATTATGGGAATTTTCCCAACGAACGCTGACATCTCCTAGAAAGTACCTTCACTTGGAGGAAGAGTTTCAGACAATATTTTGTCCTTTCCACACATATATTTATATATATATATGTGCTAACTAGGAAAACCAGACAATCCAGAAATTAAGATCTCCAAGCCTTAATTTTCCCTTCTCAATGATGAATACGACGTTGCGGGGTTCATTTTTTCATCCACTCCTCCATGGCGGGCATAAAAAGAATCTCAGAATGCAACTTTGCCTCCATAAGAAGAAGTCGACTGCGTTAAAGCAAAGGGTAAACTCTCATCATCATATATGTCATATATTCCTTATTTTTCTTCTATATATCCTTCTACTTTTTTTTAACAGCTAATCAATAATGAAAGTTTAAAACCAATAGTTTTAAATATTGTATTTACTACAAAATAGTCATTAAAGCAAGTGGAAAAAATTCCTGACTCTACCACTCATCACCACGTATAAAAAGCTAACCATCCATAAGTTATGCCATAATGCTTATTTTCATCGTGATTACCGCAATCAAATACTTAGTTTTTAAACATATAAAGATATTATTGCCGTACGTTGGGTTGAATAATTTTCTTAATGTATAGCTGCAGTTATTTTCTCAGCAAATTGTAGCTAATTCATTCTTAACACTTCTCCATAAAATAAATTTACTTATTAATACATGGTTTCATCAATTTTGTTCGAAGAAGACTCTGAAGAGGATGAAAGCGAAAGCCATTGCTGCCAAGGTGGAGATGAACCGCATAAGAGAGGAAACAACACAAATGGTTGCTGCAATGGAAGAGATCAAACTCGAGATTGACCTGTTGAAGGCATCTGTCCATCACCATTGTGATGACATGCTTCTTATCACAGGAGCAGTGGACAATCTTTCTGAGATTATATTTCAGCTTTAATTAGCTGAGGATTGAAAAAGACCAGTTATACTTCATAAAACTTACACTACATGATTAAGTCCAAGGTTTGGTGTGCTTTTAATAATAAAAGTTGTCTCGTCGTGTACCTAGCTATAAGTCTCTAAGAATTATGGTCTTGGGTTTGGCAAACCCAAATGTTATTGGCTTTTAGTTTTTGACTGGTCTTGTGGGTTGAATTTTAGTTATTATCCAAGTTAATTTCTCTCAAATTCGCATCTCTCAAATTTCTTTAGGTTGTGTTTGGGACTTGAATTTGAATTTGATGAGTGTAATTAAAATACATGTATTTTAAAATATATTGTTTGGATTGAATTAAAAAAAAAAAGAATTTCAAATACATACATATTTAAATACATTATTTGAATATTTTTTTTTTTTAGATGAATCAAATATTTTATTGTGATGAGGAGTACAAGTGGTACTCAACTCTTAGTCTCCAGGAGACATTACAAAAGACAACCTATGAGGACATTCAAAAATCGAAGCTAAATGTTTGACAACAAATCTAGTTTTTAGTGATTTCTTGCACACATAGGCTAGGGAAATTACACCAACTAAAAAAGGAGAACATAGTGTTTACATATTTCCCCCTAATCCATGCAAAAGACCTCCTTTGAATTAAATCAAATATTTTGTCTTCTTCCCATTGCTGTGAGTTGTGTATGATTTTGTTTCTTGTGTACCATATGGACCATGTCACCACCAAGAAGATGAAAAACCACACGTCAGCTGAAACTACTTTCTTTATCCCTTGACTATGCGCTTCGCAAAGAAGAGAAATAGAATTGGGTAGGGAGATGGAAATCCCCCACCATTTGTAACATCTCATCCATAGCTCTTGGATCTTATAACACTGCACAAATAAGTGATTTTCATCCTCAACATTCCTTCTACAAACGCTGCAGATGCTCTCCTCTTCTTCAACTAAAATGCCCCTCTTTTGAAGATTTGATTTTGTTGGAAGGCCATTAAGTAAAAGGCGCCAGCCAAAACAACTTACTTTTGTCGGATTTAGTTTGTTCCATATCCTTTTGCATATTCTTGCCTCCAGAATTCTGCTCTGTCCAACCATCATTGAGTATGCCTTGCCGACTGAGTATCCATTTGCTGCATCTACGCTCCATCTCCATTGGTCCGGTTGTGATGATAGCACATTCCCGCTCATGAGGACCTCCTTTAATCTTTGTTCTTCATTCTTTTCCCTGCCAAAAAATTCACGTCTCCAAATATCTTTCCAGACCCAAACTCCATTAGAAAATTGGCCCACCTCCATAACTTTAGCATTCCTATCATTTGCCAAATTAAATAGT